ACAATATGATTGATGTGTATACATTCCATGTATGTATTATATGTCAAAATGCATTCTACTGTCATGTATGACTAAAAAAAATAAATAAAAATTAGAAAAAATTATTTTAAACCATCAAGAAAACAATGTGTTGTGGATGAATTGTGCCCCTGTGCGTACCTATAGTGAAGGTCTCACCCACATTGGGCTATATTTGGAGATAGGGCCTTCAGGGAGGAAATTAAGTTAAAGTGGGTCAGAGAGGTATGGCTCTAATCTGATAGGTCTGGCGTCCTTATAAAAAGAGGAAAAGACAGGATCTCCTTCTCTTCATAAAAGGCCATGTGAGGATGCAGAGAGAAAGTGACCATTCAAGCCAGAGAGAGCCCTCACCAGGGCTTGCCCCTCCATCTGGGATTTCTGACCTTCTGAACTGTGAGAAGATACGTTCCTCACGCTCCTGCTGCCCAGCCTAGAGTATTTTGTCACAGTCCAGGCCGACTAGGACCCCATCCACTGAAAAGGAAGGGAGACAGAGAGAGTAAAACCACAGCAAGGTCCAGAGCACGTCTGCTACAGCTTCAGCTTTGGAAAAGACCAATAGGAGCTGCAAGCAGAGGCATGTGCCTGAAATCACAGCCACTCAGGAGGCTGAGGTGGAAAGATCCTGGGTTCAAGGTCACCCTGGGTCACATAGCAAAACTCATCTCAAAAAATATTTTCTATTAAAGAAAAAAATCTGTTAGGAAGGACATGGAATGATAGGAACTCTGGGTAGATTTTACTCAGATTTTGGTTTGTGAGGCTCATTCATTTGAGTTTATTGTCATAGTTTATTTTTCATGCAAGCCACTTTCAGAAACAGTTTCATAGTTGGCCCAACAATTCTATTCCTAGATATACACACAGACATGTGCACCCAGATAACCAAAACCCATGCACAGGAATACCCACAGCATTATTTGTAATAGCTGGAAAGCAACAGCTGGATGTCCATCAGGAGTGGAATACATTCATTCGATACATTCATGAAATGAAACATGGTAGAACAAGAAAAACAAATTTTAATCACAGATACACAGCAGCACATGAAGTTGTTCAAACCTGAGTTTCTGAAAGATTATATGTTCTCAAGAGATTCTATACTATTTCCATTTTACACATATTTCAAAAACAGTTGTACTCTCGTGCTAGAAACCAGGACAGTAGTTGTGCTGTGGGAAAAGGGGGAGGCTCTGGGCCTTTGGCTGTGGGGCGACTGGTGATTACAGTGGGGGCACTCCATGTCCATGCACTGAGCTTTCCATTCCTGTTTTGTGAGGATTTTGTTTACATGTCATGCTCCCCTATAGAAGTTTAATGAATATTGATTTCTACGAAGACCAATTGCTTCTCAATGAGAAGAGTTTAAAACATCCAGAATAAATTTTAAATCTCCAATTTGCTTTATAGGTAGGTTTAGGTGTTGCTTAACTAGTACTCATTTTTTCTTCTATCAATATTGAAATAATAAGTTATTGCACAATTAAGAATCATATAGTATAATATGTGTTTTTATAAATCAAAGGATAAAATCAACCCACTAGAGATTTTGGGAGTTCTGCGATGCTATTTCTCATGCCACCCTTTCTCCCTGTTGTGAAACACAAATTTATGTGTCATCTCCATCATGCCCCCAAGCCTTATTTTAGACCAGCACACTGCTGGGTCTAGGCTCATGCACTTGGGTCTTGCGCTCTCTCTGAAGAACCAGCAGGTAAGTGAATGACCTTTCTATCCAGTGAACACTGGGACTGGAAGGTGCCAAACTGTAGCCTCTTCCCACTCAGCAGGAGGCCTTTCCAGATTCCTCAAAGTTTAGAGTTCTCCAGTCACAGCGTGCTTTCCAGGGAGTTTGGAAGAAGGAGTGATATATTAGTTCACAGAGGGCACCTACTGATTCTTAGGCAATAAAACTCTTTCTAGTTTCTTTTTTTACTCTTAGGTTGACTGTGATCAGCACAGATGTGAGGGGAAATATCTGCACACAAGCTATTGTTGCCCTTTAAAACTCATGGGGGTGTTCTGGAGTGGTGCTGGGAGAGCAGGACAGAATCTCTACAGAACTTTCCCCAGCAAAAATAAGAGCCTAGTGACCCCGGCTCCAAATGTCCCTCAATTATTTGAAAAGCTAGAATCTACAATTTGTCTAAAACTGAAGAATAAGACCAGTCAGGGTGGACATTCTTTACCATGTTTTATAAAGGTTATCAATCCTCAATTAAAATAGTGTGCTGCTTGGTGCTTGAATAGGCAGAAAGATCGATGCAACAGAGAAGTTCAGAAATAGATAGTAAAGGAACATTTCATCATGGGAAGGAAAGATGGAGTTCCATGTAGTGTTAAGACACACAGAGAGCCATTTATAAAATGCAGCTTACCAGGATAAATTCTAAATAGATGAAAGATTTAAATATAAAAACAAGACATCAGAAATATTTTTTTCAAATGGGGTAAATCCTTTTGTTTCTTATAGTGACAAAGACCTGTGTATAACTCACTCAAAATTTAATTGCATAAAAATAAAAAGATGGCAAGCAGAATTTATCACAAAGCTAAAAGACTGTCTGGCAAAGGTGTATTTTTCAACTGGTATACAGATATTTTGGAAGCAGAACTATTATTCCTTACGCAATGTACATCACGTACCTGTGCAAAGAACTGAAGACAGCCTCTGTGCCCTTCTGCCCCCAGCTCCAGCCAGACTGCCCAGTGGACAGTGGTGGACACGCCTGCTTGACCTACTACAGGGTATTAAAGAAACACTGGAAGGGACAGACTGTGTGGACAGGATGGATGGGAGTTTGGAACTGAACTTTTCAGCATAATCTGTTCACGTAGTTTGGATTTTTGAAACAATATATTGTTTAAAAATAAAATGAAATTAAAAAGATGTGGTCAATGCTAGTTGAGGTCTGATAACATTTTGTCCTTAACTATTAGTATTTGTTTTTAAAATCGAATTAGTATTATTTTACTACAACCTGAAATTTGCAATGTTACTTTTTACCCTTTGATATAGAAAAAAAAAGAAGTCCTACTTTGGGGAACATATTCTGAGACAGATTTGAAAACGATCATGTGATTTTTGTTAAATGTATGTGTATATTTAAATCCATAGGGCGCTGGTTAAACCATGGACATACACCAACGGAGTATCATGGGAAGTGAGTAGACCGCCATTTGCTAAACAGCTGATTAATGACTAACACTTGTGCTTTAATACAGCTCTACTTTAATGTGCAGGTTAACATCTTTTTTTCTAATTTAAATTTACATGTGCACATTGTCACATAAATGAAGAATACATTACAGTGTAAAGAAAAGAATAAATTCATCCCCACCCAAAATATTTTCCTCTCGTACTTTGGCCACACTGGACACAATACAACCTACGATTAAGATGAGAGAGTCCTGTGCATCTCCCCCTCCAGCTCTCTCTCCTGTTTATGTGTGACCATTGTCAATTTCCAAAAAATCGTTATTTGTCCTCTATGCCTCTTGAAGGAGGCCCTGCTTATTTTCAGTCCTGGAAATCACAGAATTCCTGTGCTTTTCTTTTTCTCTTGAAAGGACTTCATAGGCAAAGACGAATGAACTCACTAGTAGAGAATCAGATCATGTCACCACTCTCACCTGCTTGTCTCAAGAGGATCCTTGAGACAGACCATCAGTGAGAATTATTTCAAGTCTCCTCTTCGGTATAGACACTGATTTGATAATTTTGGGGTCACAACATCAATTAAAACAGCACACTCTTGAAGCTGGGAAAGACCATGGAAGGAAGCATCTTTCAGACGATTTTGATTGTGCCCACCAAGGAAAGCCTTCTTCTCCCAGGTACAGAAAATGCATGCCTGTCCCCAACAACCCAGACACCCAACACCTCATTTCCAGGACGTGCTTTCTCTAGGGTGTTCTGTTTCAATACATTCCAAACAGGCTGAGATCTGTAGTTTGAAAAACGCTGCTTGAATCCAATCCCTTAACTTTCAAATAAGAATACAATATAAATAGAATTTTTATTTGGATTTATTCATGAAAAATGTCCAGGGCCAGTTCCCCTGCATCCCTGATATGGATGCTTTGGGAATCAGATCTTCCCCCTTTCTCTAAACTCTTCTCTACTTTAGCTACCCCTTGGAGGCCTCACCAAATCCCATGGCTTTAAATACCATCCACATACCAAAGACTCTCAGATTTATGACTCAAATGAAGTCCATTCTCCCCCAGAACTTCTCTCCTCAAGACCACCAGTGATTCCATGCTGCTAATCCAAGAAATTATTCTTGGGCATCCACACTTCCGACCACAGCAGTGGATGCAGTTGATTACCTCCTGTTCGACTCGGAAATCTCACAAACTGCACAGTTTCTGATTTTCCCTCCCCCACCTCCACCAGTGCACACTTAATTCTCTCTTATAGAGAGAAAGACATCTCACTCTTCTAGTTAAGACTTTCAGCCACATCAAGTTTGAGGGCCTAGCATTTAAGAAAGCACTAATCAAATTGAAATCCTACCAATGCATAAAGAAAATGTAGCAACCATTCATTATTGTTTTAAAGTAAAATAAGACAGGAAGGAAAGCAAAGATAATTCGGATACCAAAAACTGATATTAAATGTCATCTTTTTTTGGGGGGGGGGAGGTGGGTACCAGGGATTGAACTCAAGGGCATTCAACCACTGAACATATCCCCAGCCCTACTTTGTATTTTACTTAGAGACAGGGTTTTACTGAGTTCCTTAGCACTTTGACATTGCTGAGGCTGTCTTTGAACTTGCAATCCTCCTGCCTCAGCCTCCGGACCAGCTGGGATTACAAGTGTGTACCACTGTGCCTGGCATTGATAAATATCATCTTAAAGGACACTTAATATCATGTTAACTGATATTATGTTAATTAAAACCAAGAACTAAAAATTTAAAAATGTCTTCAAAAATTATTCTTCTGCTTTACTTTGGAGATTTATAGCAAAGGTTGTAAAAATAAAATTTCATGATGTTCACATTGAGGAAAACGAAAAAGGATAGATTTATTTTGTTATTAACTATGAGACATCCATAGGGGTTTTATTTTGAAGAGAAAAGAAAAAAAGTAGAATTTCAGAAATTGGCAAAAGAGCTGGATACAAAATATCAGCACACTTTTTCCCTCCCAGCAGTGAGATCTAAGAAAGCAAGAACTCTTACATTAAAACAACAACAACAAACTTATAAATGAATTAGGAATAAAATTAAGACAAGTACATGGAGTTCAGGAGAAAAAAAAAATTCTATTATGTAAATAATAAATTATAAATAAGATATTTTATTTCAGTTTATTGGGAAAATGGATGAAGTATTTAATAAATGGGGTTGAAAGAGCTGCCCATCCTTCTGGGAGAATGTAACTCAGATTCTGTGTTCACAATATAAATTCTAGTTGGATTAGAGACAATTTTTCTTTTTTAAGATAAAACAAACAACAACAAAAAACTTTATAAAGAAAATGTAGAAAGACTGCAAACTCAAGAGTAGTAGTGTATAATTTCTTAACCCAAACTGGAAACTTTGAAGCCATAAGACAAATTTATTATTAACAATATTTTAAAAAACCCACATACCCAATACAAGCTTTTGCATACAAATGGGAAATACATCACAGGAAATAAAAAGCACAACACAGGTAATGAGTGTTTTTCACTGTTGTGACCAAGACAGCTTAACAACAACAAAAAAACAACTTGAAAAGTCCGGAAAGTCTATTTGGAGCTCAGTTTGAGTCTAGTCCAGACAGAGGGCTTCACTCCTGGAGGCTAGACTGAAGGTCGAGGGGAGGGTGAAGAGCGTCTCCCACCCAGGACCAAACATACTCACACCCACCTCCAGCCACACCCTGCCTTCTTAGGGTTACTGCGCAGCTAATCCCTATAAGGGGCTTCATGAACCAATTAGGCTAAAGCCCTCATAACCCAACCATCTTACTTCCAAAACTTGTCTTCATGTTTCAATGTGACAACTTAGGTTGGTGTCAACTATGGAAACGGTATCAAGCTCTTTTCCTGAATCACGTAGGTGGCTCTTAAAAGAGCCGTTGGGTAGCTGGAAAGTTTCCAGCAGGATTTTCACTTTTTCTTGGGGGCTGCCTTCTTGGGCTTGGCCGCAGTCTTTGGCTTGGTCACCTTCGCCTTGGCCGCCTTGGGCTTCACCGCCTTGGCCTTGGCAGGGCTCCTGGCTACCTTCTTTGGCTTCACGACCTTAGGCTTCTTAGGGCTCTTGGATGGCTTCTTGGCCATCGCGGGCTTTTTTGCCTTCTTCGGAGTCTTAACATTCCTCTTAACCGCGGCCCCTGCGGGCTTTTTGGGCTTCTTGGAAGAGCCCGAGGACTTGGCCTTGGCTGCCAATTTTGCGGTGCTGGGCTTGGCTTCCCCGGAGGCCGCCTTCTTGTTGAGCTTGAAGGAGCCGGAGGCGCCGGTGCCCTTGGTCTGCACCAGGGTGCCCTTGCTCACAAGGCTCTTGAGGCCCAGCTTGATGCGGCTGTTGTTCTTCTCCACGTCGTAGCCGGCGGCCGCCAGCGCCTTCTTGAGCGCGGCCAGGGACACGCCGCTGCGCTCCTTGGAGGAGGACACGGCCTGGACGATGAGCTCGGACACGGAGGGGCCAGCAGGCTTCTTCTTGGCGGCGGCCGCCGTCTTGGCGGGCTTCTTCGCCTTCTTGCCAGCGGAAGGCTTCTCAGGGGCGGCCGCCGGAGCGGCTTGGGCGGCCGGCGCCGTCTCGGACATGGCGACTGCTACTAGAGAAAGGAACTGGCTTAGCCCTGGCGGAGCGGGAGGCCGGCCGCGGACCCGCGCGGCGTATTTATAGAGCGGGGCTGCGCCGTGATTGGTGCACGCAGGTGCCCGCCCCTCGCACCTAGCGCCGCGCGCAGCGCAGGGCCTAGCGGGTCGGGGGCGCTGGACTTCCCTCTGTGCGCTCTAAAGCACCCTTAGAGCCGCCCCTGAGGCTGGGTGCGATGGACGCTGTAGGCCGAGCAGGGTCGGGCAGTACTGTCTACTAACACCAAAGGGTGTAACTTCCCTCTCGAAAAGCAGCCCCCTTTGTGGGAGAGGGGTGCCGAGACAAAAAAATCCAAGGGGCGTCCCTTGAAACTGCTAGAAGGTGCTCTGTCCCTAATGCTCCCTTCTCACTTTTTAAACTATGCAAAGGATGGTGCATTGGGTGGTGGGGGAGCTAGAGGAAGGCGAGGCCTTGCCTCAGGTTCAGGACCGGTTTTTATCCCTGCGGTCTGGTTTCTTAGCAACGGAGAAAAACTGTCTAGTGCACACCTTGCACATATTTTGGTCAAAGAACGAGTCGTGGGAAACTATAGAATTCACTAAACCCAGTTACCATACTCCGTGTGTGGGGAACAGTCTGAAAACAGATTCTTCAATCGCAACTTACTCCTGCGGTCCGTCGAGCTTCTCTGGTTCTGGGTGCCCTTTCATCCTCAAACCCGAGGTCTACAACCTTGGTCCACTGGCAGCCCAGAACCGCCCATCCGCCCTAGCAACACAGACTTGGGCTCTCAATGGAGCAGGAGAAGCAATCATAAAACGTTAGAAGGACTAAGGGGTTCCCTGGAAGGCATCGTATCAAGAAGTTAGGTCCCCTTTGTGTAAAAACAAGAGGGCACTCCCTTGAGGTAAGATTTCAAGGCAATTTCCCTTCAATTTGTGTTTGACAGTAAATAAACTTCAAAAGCAACTGCATGATAAAGCGATTTAACTTTAAGAACTAATGGCTATAAACTAAAGGGAGAATGAAATGCTGTTAAACTGCCATCCTTTTCTACAGCACTGCCCTGGGTAATGGCCCAAGGACTCCGGGGAACAAGGCAGTGACTTCTCATTCCCGCCGCCATCCTGGCAGTTTTCAAACAAGTCCGCACTGGCCTAGGGCCCCTGAGATTTCCCCACTGTCTTTACAGCACGAGATAATGTAATCGTCCCAGACTCCTATTGTGTCCGTCTTCTTTACTGCCTCGAATTTTATCAAGAAGCTGTTTCCAAATACGTTAAGTGATTTCTAAGAATTTGGAAAATCAACTGGAAACGGAAGTAAGCATCTTACTTTGAAAGGGATAGTAAATTACAAGGTGCACGTTAACAAGAAAGACTTAATTTTTTTTTTTTTTGTTAAGGAAACTTTGAAAAACATAAGCCTTTCTTAGTGTAATAAACAAAGCATGTAATAAAATGAAGCTTTTAAAACGGAAAGACTACAAATTCTCAGACGCACAATTGGTTTCTACACTGCTTTCTTATTCAAATAATGGTTTGTCTTTGTTTCCACTGTGTTAAAAGGGCGACTTCAGATTAAGTGGCACCTCTCCACACAAATGAAGGATGCTAGATGTGCTTTCTAAATGGCTACCAGAAAAAAATAGAATAAACCAATGAAAAGGTAGAAGCTTCTGTTAAAACAACATCCGATATTTTAATATTTTTGAGGCACAATTTGCAAGGTTAAATTATGCTCTTTGCAGTGTGGACTCCAGTTTCTCTTGGTCGAGGTCCACCGCCTGCTTCACTAGGGGCCACAACTTCAAGCTGGGTGGGCTGGCGCGCTAATGTACGTGGCGGCGGCCCGGGAGTGGCAGCCACCGCCATTTCTCACCTGGCAAAGCGCTAGTATAGAACATTGATCACCTGACAAAAAGGACTCCTATTACAGACTCGTTTGGGAGAAACAATATTATTTACTTTACGAAATTATGCTTTTGCAGGTTTCAACGAAGGCCGTTGATCAATTAAAACATTACTAAAGGAGTCGTTTTTTCAGACACTAACCATGAATCGGGGCACGACATGAAACGTAAAGAATGTTACGGGGGAGCGGGTTAGCAATGTTCACTAAATCGTAACACTCCCCGGGAACTGAGGGTTAAACAGATTGGAGAACTACTGTAGCATGAAAATCTAAGTCTAATTTATAAATAGATAAAAGTACGATTTGAGATTATAAGGATTGGATATGAAAGACGAAGAAAGTTTAAAAGAGAAAGGAAAAAGAACTGAAAAGAACAGAGGGTATAACCGAGTAGCCAATGAAACTGCACTTTTGGGACAATTTTAAAATAAACCAATCAGAGCCTGCTACGTAAAGCAAAACATTTTTAATCATCCAATCGCTGCACTTTACATACTATAAATACTAGTAATGCAGCTGACCGACATTTCCCCTGCTGTTGGGTACCTTCAGCTTTACTTGAAATGGCTCGTACTAAGCAAACCGCACGTAAGTCCACCGGCGGCAAGGCGCCGCGCAAGCAGCTGGCCACCAAGGCCGCCCGCAAGAGCGCCCCGGCCACCGGCGGCGTCAAGAAGCCGCACCGCTACCGGCCCGGCACCGTGGCGCTGCGCGAGATCCGCCGCTACCAGAAGTCCACCGAGCTGCTGATCCGCAAGCTGCCGTTCCAGCGCCTGGTGCGCGAGATCGCGCAGGACTTCAAGACCGACCTGCGCTTCCAGAGCTCGGCCGTCATGGCGCTGCAGGAGGCCTGCGAGGCCTACCTGGTGGGGCTGTTCGAGGACACCAACCTGTGCGCCATCCACGCCAAGCGCGTCACCATCATGCCCAAGGACATCCAGCTGGCCCGCCGCATCCGCGGGGAGAGGGCATAGTTGAGTTTCCAATTTCATTTTTGCCAAAGGCTCTTTTCAGAGCCACCCACATTCTCAAATAAGGCAGCTGTGAGAACACTTAAGAAGGCCAATCACTTAATAATGACACTGCACTTTACCACTTATTTTATATGCCATGGGAGTTTGAGGGACTTCGGTGAGACATTTCAAAGGCTAGAACGAGCAAGTTTAAGCACAAAACAGGAACCACATCCCAATCCTAAATTTAAAAAGAAATTTGTTTTAGCTCATAAATAAATCACCATGGAGACAAAGCCAATCAGTGGGTTAATTCCCTCAAGGGATTAACTGAGTGCAATTGAAGGTCGGTAGGGAAGTGGTCGGAAGAGACGGGCTTTGGGGTATATCATGGGAGTCACTTGCTTCCACCACTTCTGCCTCATCCTAAGCCCCAAGGAATGCAGCTGGCTGTCTAAGGACTGAGACCTCTGAAACTATGAACCATCTAAATAAACCTTTCCTCCCATAAGAAAAAACCATGGGCAGACTCCAGACCCATAAGCCCCATTTTTTTCACCACATAAAGACACCACATAGACATCTTAGAATTTCTCACTTAAGATGTTTTTGCAGTAAATGAATTTACATTTAAATGCTAAATTAGTTCCCGAAAGCATAAAAGAAAGCAAAGACCAGTGGTAGAGCTGCCTTGGCGCCAGCCGCTTCCGACTCCCGGGGATTAGGAGGAGGGCTTAGGGGAGGGGACTGGAGACGTCACGTTTCCCGCCCGCGCGCTTTCCATTCTTTACATTTGCTAGGGGCGGAGAGGAGGGGCGAAATAGGTATATAAGGGTGGGCTCTGCGCTGCATCCTCACTTGGTGTTGGGTTTGATCTTCGGTAACCATGTCTGGTCGCGGCAAAGGAGGCAAAGGCCTGGGCAAAGGCGGCGCCAAGCGCCACCGCAAGGTGCTGCGCGACAACATCCAGGGCATCACCAAGCCCGCCATCCGCCGCCTGGCCCGCCGGGGCGGCGTGAAGCGCATCTCCGGGCTCATCTACGAGGAGACCCGCGGCGTGCTCAAGGTGTTCCTGGAGAACGTGATCCGCGACGCCGTCACCTACACGGAGCACGCCAAGCGCAAGACGGTCACGGCCATGGACGTGGTCTACGCGCTCAAGCGCCAGGGCCGCACCCTCTACGGCTTCGGCGGCTAAGACAACTGGTTTTCACCGTCGCTTAAGTTACTCAAAGGCCCTTTTCAGGGCCGCCCAACCACTCAAAGAAAGAGCTGTCGGACGCTATTGTGGCATAGCCAGAGAGACGGGAACGTAAGATGAGTTACACTTAATTGCACCTGTTTGCTAGGTGAGTAGGGCAAAAACTTAAGCCCACTTAAGGAAAACGAACGAAAAAGAAATTAGTATTGTGTAAGGAACTTGCATCAGTTTCCTCGGAACAAAGAGAATCATTACCTTGTCAGGAAGCCTATCAGAGGGTATCAGCCAATCAGAACTGATGACCTAATGTATCTGCGAGCCAGAGAAGGGGGATGGGTAGGCCGCTGCTAGGTTTTCTGTTTTTGACACTGCAAAGCCGTTTTAGACAGTTTCCATTTTTTATATAGACCTACATATACATTCTTTAGATATGTTTTGTCTATAGATCTAGATGTGTATTTGCGTTGTGTGTGTGTGTGTGTGTGTGTGTGTTTAGCAGAGGCAGGCAGCGTGGGAAGCAGCAGGTGAGGTTGGTCAGGACAGATGCTGCTGGTCTGTGAATGTCCACGTGTGCCAGATTGAGATGTATGGACTTTGTGGTCAGTCATTAAGGCCACAGAGTTTTCAAGGATGTTTCTGATGCAGCTGTGTTCATATAGCATCAGGTTTCAGGATCCAGCTAGAATAGGGATGTGAACTGACTTGATATTCGCTAATAGGAAGCATCTTATTCTCATCTGAAGAGACACTCAAACGCTTCTCTCACTGAGTTCCTTTTGGTATCATTTTTGTAGGGGGCCGACTTCAGGCAAGGCTGAATGTCTCCTTGATATTGGGGTCCCGTTTTCTACCAGATATTTTTTTTTGGGGGGGGGATGATGAAAGTACCTAGCTTGGCTTAACTAAAAACAGACAATGGAGAGAATTCATAGCTACATCCTGAAGGGTTTCAGGAATTGAGTCAGGAGAAAATACCAGCCTGGTTGGGAAGGTGGTCATTTTATGTCCTTCTTTGCTGGTGTCCTTTAAGAGACACTCAATGTCCTCATGCAATGTGCCTGTGCTATTATAGACAATTGGGATCATCAGTGAGCAAATTAGAATTTACTCTCCTAATGACTAGCCAGTGGAGAAAGATGTAGTTAACAGGTGGCCTATATGGAAGAAGTGGTAGCTTCTTTTCTGGTCTGTCTGGCCTTTTTGTTTGCTCGAATTGCTAATGGGGACATACTCATTTAGTCATAACCACCTCTGCTGTGAGTAGAAACCTCTGAGCCTTCCTCAGTCCTTTCATTCTATTCTTGCTGAATTTACAATCCCCGCTTCATCCCTCAAATCCAAACTGCCATGCAGACTGGAGATTCAGTTGTGGCAGCACTGGTGGGTCTGGTGGAGGCCTGGGGACTCCTGTGGAAGATTCATGCATAAAACATTCACTTAAAAACCCTCAGAAACTACATGCCAGACGTTAGCCCCGTTCTAGGTGCTACGGATACTTCAGGAAGAAAACAATGTTTCACTATCAAGACATTATGAAGAAAACAATGTTTCACTCTCAAGACATTATAGTCCAGTTGGGGGAAGACAGACAATAAAGAAAAAAGATTATATGTATTATTACAGAGAAAATAGCATGCACACCATCTCACACATACACATGCTAGTTTACAAATGAGCAGGAATATATATATATATATTTTACAAAGAGTGAGTGGTCAAGGGAGATTTCTTTTATAAGGAGGGTAATTTGAGCAGAGGCCTGAATGAAATGAGGACTAAAGACTTGCAGATATTAAGATAAAACAGCTCCAGGGAGAGGAAAAAAAAAAATGAAAGTATAAAGACTCTGACTCTGGGAAGTCTTGTCCATTTCAAATACAATGAGATCAACTGGAAAGAAAAACAAAATGTGATGCAGAATGAGGTCAGTGAATAGCCAGGATTCAGATTTGGTAGGTGTTAGGGTAGCTGGTACAAATATTCGCCAGAGACACATCTTAAGTTCAAGCAAATGTTTACCGGCAAAGAATATCTGACAAGCTGCCCTTCTGCAAGGCACAGCAGCCTGCTGAAAAAAGTAGTTAATTGTATAGTCATGTACAATGGAGTAGTTAAAAAATAACCCATCTGGTACTATATGATTGTTACTGGACGTCATTGTTGTGGTTTCATGCCGGGGTCTAGCCCTAGCGGGGTCCAGGGAGTCCTGAAGGATGAGTGGCCTCGGCTGAAAGATGAGACAGGAGTCGTTTCCTTGGAGCAATCTCCAGAGAGAGAGAGCTCTAATGCAGCTTTCTCTGGGTCATCTTTTATTACAATTTTTTCTCATCATTATAGATTCAGAATACGTCATTGATTATACAATTTCAAAACTTTGCCAAGACATAACGTTTCCTTAACCATAATTGGGGGTATAGAAAAATGTACCATCAATTTAAATTTTTCCAGGATGTGACTTTTTAGTTATCAATCATTAATAAAATGTGTTACTAATTTACATTTTTTCAGATTTTCCCAAGATGTACAATTTTCTTATTAACCAATGCCAAACTACGTAACCAGACTCTAAGTCTCCAAACCCATCATTAACCTTTAAGTTTTAAAGTACAACTGAACTTTTATTTCTAATATAAAATTCCTATCTAAAAAAGTCCCCTTAAATCTTATACTTAAAATATCCTAAAGTTTATAAACCATTCTTAAAACATATCAGAAACCCACAGAGCTAAAAACTTAAGCATTCTAAACCCAAGAATCTAAATAGAATAATACTTCTAACATTATTCTAAAAGTATGTCTTATAAAGCTACTTTAATTAATTCCTAAAACTGGTTGAGCTGCTTTCTCAAAGAGTTTCTTTGTTTCTCAGTCAAGGTGCACTAGTTCTTATGTCTTTATAATCTTTCTCAATAAAAAGTTCTAAACATCAGTCCACTTTCTGCCAATATTAAGTATGCTCATCATAAATCCCTATGTGAAGTAAAAGAGGGTTTATACAAATGAAAAGAATGTATCCTTATATGTCTTAACTTTCTTAAGTATATAACATAACTTTCCTTAATCAAGAATGAAACTACATATGGTGGGTTTTGTACAATGAGCATAATGATTAGGTTTTCTAAAAGGCCAAAAATATGGGCTTGGGGGTTCTAGTTGATATAATCAATGTGGTGCCTAAAATTCTTCTGACCTTTCAGAGAATGATTGTTGTCCATTATCAGTTTTGTCCTCAACGTGCTGAGATAGTAGAGCAGCTTTCTAGTTGTCCTTGATAAGTTGAGGGGTAGTAGAACAGCCTCCAAGGCATGAACTACCTGTTATGTTCTAAGCATCTGAAATTCAATTTGGTTTGGCATTTAACATACTCATGCCTCCTGTCAGGAGCATGAGCATGAGAATGAAAAGTCCCAGTTACATAAAAAAGGGTCTCCTGGTTTCGGTTTCCCACCAACCAACACGGCTTTGCAAGCATTCATCCTCGCTGTGACCTTGTCAAGACAGTGGGAGAATGGCTTTGCCAGCACTTATTTTCACTGTGACCTTGTCAAGTCAGTGAGAGGGGATCACCTTCACCAGTTTCAGTAAAATTAGGGACTCTTTGTGCCTAAAAGGAAGGTCATGCCTGGATGGGCAGGTGCTGATTTTCAAAATGGAGTTACTTTGGCCCGTGGATCTTATACTAAGTCCTGTTAGGTGGGTTGACCACATCCTGGTTTGGTTAGTACTTTCCAGATTTTATCACTGGAAGTTCTACGTCCTGGGTAACTCCCTCAAACTCAGGCAAACTGGAATGACTTTCACCCTACTTGTAGGCTGTGTGATAAGGATACTTGCTTTTCTGTGAAAAGGATTGAAAAACCGCTGGAGTGTTCTAAGTAGAAGATACGTAGACAGAATATCATGTAAAACAGTCATCTTGCTTCTGGATAGAGAAAAACAAAAACCCCAAAACTCCAGGGGACAGGGGTCAAGAGCCAAAGCAAAAAGCCTGGTTAGAGGTTGTGTAACCTCAGTAGGGGAGGCTCCCACAGTGGGATCTGTCTCTGTTTAGTCTTGTAAAGCAAAAAACAAACAAACAAAACAAAACAAACAAACAAACAACAAAAAACAAACAAACAAACAAAACAAAACAAAAACAAAAAAAACCCTACGTATCCAAAGAACTGAGAAGCAGAAAGCTTGCTCAGAAATCAACTGTGCAAATTATTAGGGCTTGATGGGTTATAGACAGGGGCTAAGAGTAATGAGAGATGGGCTAATAATGGGAGGATCTGTCAAGTGTTTTCTTGGAACAGACAGAGATTTCCCAGAACTGGGACACCACTGCTTTTCATTCCCTGTAACAACGTGGTGTTCTTGCCTGGGCAGCGGGTAGCTGTGTCAGTCAGCATGGAGGTTATACTGAAGTTGGAGTTCTATTAGAGGTCTGTTCAAGCAGCTGTCTTGGTGCTTTCATCCCTGAAGAAGAAAGAGATGCAGCAAGCTGACCCTGCATATGTTTCTGGACAAGATGTTTCTCCAGTGATCAGCATGTCTACATGCAGAGCTGAGTAGAAATCTGACCCAGAGGTTAAGGCAGCAAAGGAGACAATCTGAAGGTAGAGATGCCAAGCCATTCACCCTGTTCCAGTCCCCCACTGGACGTTTGCTGGTCCAAGAGTCTTTTGAGGAATGGCACTTATAGTGAACATGAAACTATTTCACAAAACACACAATATTCAAGAGGTGAGACTGAATTCTATTGCCAAGAACTATGAAGAGGTCCAAGGACTGAGCCAAAGTACACACTTGTAGGACTACTTCCCTCTTTAGTGGAGCTGCACTGTGATTCATGAGAGAGAGAGAGAGAGAGAGAGAGAGAGAGAGAGAGAGATCATATGTTATTTATCAGGTTCCTTTTGATGAAATTTTGGCACTTATATTCATTCACTGTTGTAAATACTGCTGCACTAAATTGGTCTAAATTTTTATTTTAAGCCAGTCTCACCATTTAAAGTCTTGCCTCAGTCTCCAAGGGAAATTAGTTCCAGGACTCCCCCAATCCCCATACCAAAATCTGCAGATGCTGAAGTCCTTTAAGTACAATGACACTGTAGTATTTCCCTACAAACTTCATGCATCCTCCTAAACAGTTCAAATCATCTCTAAATGGTCTATAATACTCAACACAATGCAAAAGTTTTGTAAATAGTTGTTACAGTGTATTATTTGGGGAATAATGGCAAGAGAAAAAGCCCCCACATGTTCAATACTTTTTTCCCCCATCCACTGTTGAGTCCAAGTTTGTAACCTATGATATGGAGGGCCAACTGTACTTTGATGTCTAAATTTTAATCTTCAACCCAGATGTGGCACTTAACTCCTCAATCTCACTTATTTGACACTCTATTCATGATCAGACCTATTTTCAATGTAACCCCACATTTTTAAAAATTTATTTTTGAAGTCGTCATCAATACATTTCTCAAGTGTTTAATCAAACATTGCAAACCCAGTTGGATTTTCTAACTTGGGCATCTAACACAAGCTTGTTGTGCTGTCTGAAATTTTCCTAAATAAAAACCAAGTAGTGAAGTTTGTGATTTATAACATGAACTGGAACGAGCTAGAAAGAGCACCAGTGATCTGTGCATTCTCAGAGGAAGCTTCCTACCCTCTCAGCTGCTTCAAGGTTAGGCTCTGCCACAGGCTGGGCCCTGAAGTTGACAAAAGAATTAAATATGTGTAAAGGCACCTTCAAACCTTGGACCACTAGCTCTAGGTGATGCACAACGGAAGCCAGACGGATTGCCCAGAGAGGAGAGGGGAGGGTGGAAGCCACTGAAATCTCTGGAAAGGAACTAGGCCTTTTAATGGTGTTAACAACCTCCAGAAAGGACTTGTCCCCTTCACCTGGGAAGGGCAGGTGAGGTCTCCCAGATTCTCAGACACGACTACACCAGGGTGTTCAACTGCACTTCCAAAGCAGAGCCTCAGCCATAACACGCAGTTCCCAGAGAATCATAAACATGCAGTTCAGAGAATGCGGATCCTCCCTCAGCGAGTGAGGCAGAGGGTCTGCTCTACAAATCAAGTGGGAATGTCATTGTAAGTGTATCTCCCTACCTCAAGACTGACTCCAACTCCAAGTAAGCAAAACAAGGACACTCCGCTAGGCACTGCACATGACAGATGGGAGAAAGGAAGCCAATACTGCAGCTCTCTTCAGGAGAAGGTGGGCGGCCCTAAAAAGGGCCTTTGAGTAACTTAAGCGACGGTGAAAACCAGTTGTCTTAGCCGCCGAAGCCGTAGAGGGTGCGGCCCTGGCGCTTGAGCGCGTAGACCACGTCCATGGCCGTGACCGTCTTGCGCTTGGCGTGCTCCGTGTAGGTGACGGCGTCGCGGATCACGTTCTCCAGGAACACCTTGAGCACGCCGCGGGTCTCCTCGTAGATGAGCCCGGAGATGCGCTTCACGCCGCCCCGGCGGGCCAGGCGGCGGATGGCGGGCTTGGTGATGCCCTGGATGTTGTCGCGCAGCACCTTGCGGTGGCGCTTGGCGCCGCCTTTGCCCAGGCCTTTGCCTCCTTTTCCGCGGCCAGACATGGCTAAGGTCTCAGGACCAAAACCTTAGAGGAGCGAAGATACTCACTGAGGCACGTACTAGCACCACGGCTAATTATACGCCGCCATCGGACCTCGTTGAGAACTGGAAGCGGGAAGCGACGAGGAGGCGCGGCTCCACTTTCGCTCCGCCCCTCACTGGGCAGTGACCCGAGGACCGGGAGAACTGGATACTTCCACTTTTGAATCTTTTGCCTTGTTTCCTGTGGTTGACTATGTGATCGCTGAAGCTGTCGCTTTGCCTAAGAATTTTAATAAGGGTTCATGTTTTAATAACAAAGCTCTTGATAGAGCTAAAAATATCATATTGATAATTTAGATAAAAGCTCTTTTTAAAAAGGCTAAAGGAGATCATCCTGGTCTTTGTTTAAAAAATGCGGAAGTTGAAATCCCATGAAAGATGTCCTCCCTAAATTTAACAAAAAGCACCATTCTTGGGCTGGGGTTGTGGCTCAGTGGCAGAGAGCGCTTGCCTCACACATGTGGGGCACTGGATTCGAACCTCACCACCACATGAAAATAAATAAAGATACTAAAAATCTACCATTCCTATCACGGATAGGAACTAAGGCCAAGGATATTCTGTACAAATAAATCCTGTTGTAACTCTTTGTCTTTTCTCTGCCCAATATAATGCCATACCTCAAACACCTTTGCTTTCTAACATTCAGTATATAAGTAATTGACTAACTGCTTTGTGTCATCATCTCCTTATAAGGGTTCTTGTACCACATGAAACTTGTGTCAAATAATTTTTTAAAATAAGTCTTGTTAATTATGTAAATTTCCACTATGCTGGTTGAACCAGGATCCTAAGATGGAGATACAGTTTTGCTACCCTTTCACGACATTCTTTTTCATTAATAGGGAATGTTTGTAGGTGGCCCTGTAATTTTGGTCCTCCTCCTTCATTTGTAAAACAAGTAAAGATAACCATTCATGGAAGTTTTCTGAGAATTTGAATTAGCAAACATGAGTAAAATGTTAGAACAGAGACTGTCCCAAAGAAATGCTGCATAAATGTGGTTAATTCTAGCATGTTTTACTTTGCAAATGTGCTTGAATTGTGATATTGACTTATGCTCCTCAATT